ATGTCTAAACATTATAGTTCATGAGATAGAGCCTGGAGGCAGACGGACAGACAGACTGATTAGTCTCGTTCCAGAATGGAGTCCCGTTTTACCCTTTGGGTGCAGAGCCCTATAAAAGACGACTTGCATGTATTATTTTTAATATATGAATAAAATTAAACAACACAATATATATATAAACTCTTTGCAGTTACGTAGTCAGCCATCTTTATAAACCGTCACAATGCGTTCTTTAAAGGTGTAGTAGTATATTTGAATATTCGTATTATATCTCATATTAAAACGTTATACCCAAAAAAAAAATTAAAATATTATTATCAATTCTAACATTATAAAGAAGATAAATTAGATTTTTTGTTTGTTTGCATTGAATATCCTCTGAAAATACTGGACCGATTACAAAAATTCATTTACCTACGAGAAACTACATCATACGCACCCGCGTACCTGGCATTGGCTGTAATTTACGCGAGTGAAATCACGGGAAAAAAATTATTAGTATTATAAAATTATAGACGTCCAAAATATTTATCATTTTGTTTACCAAGATGCCCAATAGATCAATCTTAACCTGAGCACCGAAACTTTATCTCGCTACCTAGCTAGATTTTCTAGTTGCTTTTATAGCAGTATATGTAGTTAAAAACGTGGGCTTGTTATAGTCTGATACAAATACCAACTCTCAGTATTGAGATCAAACATTAAAACATAACAGCTGTTTTTTTATTATTATGAGGGTATCATATATTTCCTTTTTAATATATGAATTGATCCATCGACATTTTCTTTCCGATTTTTAGTAAAAAAAATAAAATTCCTGTAATTTCTCAATGGCATGATATGCAAAATATAAATAAAGTGACTGCTACATATTTTCGCGCTGTTACTTATGTAACTTCCATGAAATACATATATTTTCCTAACATTATATTTGGAAACTCATATTTTTATAAAAACACGGACCATAAATATTTAAAAAAAAATTAATAATATTAACAATGAAATACGACTTCATTCGATATTACCGCGATATTACTATATTGCGTTAAGTATATTTTGTTTTGAATCCAATGAAAATTTCGATGGGAATATTGCATAGCCTTATAATTATTTATGAAGCAAAAATATAACATGAAATATATGCAGCAGAATTTTGAGTTAAACATATATTCCACTAAATATCATTAAAATCCACTCCGAAATACTTTAAATAAAAGTTTTATCATATAAAACTACGACTACTCAAAAGTCAAAAATAAAGTCTAATAAAAATGACTATTTCCTGTAAATTTTTTATTTATTTATTTATTTATTACTTAATCATGCACCAGCTTTCAGAATACTCCATCACACTGGCTCATTATACATTTGTCATAATAATTTCAATTTTTACAAGTCAAAAAAAAAGTATTTGTACTGATATTGAATTACGTCAGATTTACAACCAATAAATAAGCAATGTCAAATTGTGAAATAATGATCAAAATATTAATTTATATAAATTAAAAAAAAAAACATGAATTTAAAGTACGTAGTAGATAAATGTCCAAAAATAATATAAATCAATGCTAAGGATTACTTAATTTATAAAGAATCTTGGATCTGTCTAGCCGATGATAACAATCGGCCCATACCATCAGCAAACAAATCCAAATCCAATTTTAATTGGAAAAAAGTCGTGTTAGTAATTTTGCGTGAAGGAAATGAAGGCTTTTTGACTTGATGTTTTTTTATACCTTCCGTAGCTAAAATGAGATGGATTCTTAAATATAGTCTCTTGCAATTGGCTCATAAACTTGATTAAAAATATTCCAGATTTATATCGAATTATTTCCGTTTTTTCTCGTATTTGTATCAGGTTTTTACTCGGCAATGCCAATCTTTTTACCTTATAGTTATCATATCAATAAAATAGGGTTTCCAGCAATGTAATTATATTAAAAAATATAGCACAACGCTACCACGTCATAGTAAAGTAACACGTTTATTATCTTTGTAGTAGGATTTATTTGTTTAAACGGTGGCCTGGAAGAAATATCTTTTTAGCAATAAGGCCGCCAAATGTATTTATTTATGGTGTGTCCAATAAAGAGTTCATTCATTATTATAATATGCAATACTATACCAGAATGGCATTGCAGGTAACAGGATCAGTGATAATTACATATATCATTAATATTTCAGATTTTCTTCATAGTGGCCCTAGCTTTTACTGTGCTAGCACTTGCATCCGCTGATACTGACAGCTACTTGGGGTCTAGTAGCAGAGGTTCTAGCCGGGGAAGAAGAGGGAAATACGGCATTGGTTCCCAAATAGAATTTAGTGGTCATAGAGGATCCGGTCGTCGTACATTCGATCCGATGTACGATTGGATCCAAGGGGTTTAAAATCGACGGTTATGGACCAAGCGATCTTAATTCTGGTTCACGGGGATCTGGTGACTAAAGCGGTTTCAATAGGAACAAAGGACATACTCATTCTGGAAGAGGCAGCTCATACTAAAGAAAAGTGGAAACTTTTCTGGCTCTAAACAAGAATAAAAAATATCGTAAGAAATTATTAATTTTGTATTTTAGTTTTCCATCTTAAAAACCTTACTGATTTTAAAATAATTATATAGTGTGCAGTTGTCATCCAGAACAATTTCAAATTCTTTATTATATGATAACATTGAATCTCTTGATGTTTGTTTTTTGAATTTGATGACATTTTATATACATACAAATGACCATCTCATACATATCAAGAATATCTTTAGATGCAACTCATGGTTACCACATATTTATCTACTGGTGAAATGTTATGATATATTTAATCGATCATTAACTTACGAGTACTACGTGAATATAATATTCTTGACACACGAATCCGTTCAACAAAATTTTATTGACATAGTTTTAATACGTAATATAATTTAATTCTACACGTTCTATTTAAAAACAAATGCCACAGGGGATTTCTCAAATCCCATTCATTTTTATTAGTATACTACTGCGTATAGTAACCAAACAGGAAAGTACAAAAATAATCACAAATCAAATAATAATAAAGATCACAAGCGGATGCTAAATCTTTAGTTTGTTCATATACGCAAAAGCCATGAGTATCTCAAAGTTTTCGCGCAATTAAACTAGTTAAATTCACTTTTAAAATATCGCGCTGCGTTATTAATACCGGGTATTATAAGTAACTAGTTAAAGTTGGTATTAAATAGTTAACAAAATTATAAATTCACATGAATATTATACGCATAAAAAAAAACACATCTAAAAAGGCTAACCATCATCGATTAATTAAGGACAATAATATTATAAATAAATTTATTGTACAGCAAAATCAATCATGAAAACACAGAAAAAATCTTTCTGCATTCTGTAAAAAACACGTAATATCAAAAGCATTTTTTTAAAAAAGCTATTCGATCCACCATATTTTAAGATTTTGTGTCATTTTAATCACCCTTGTTTTGTTAATCAAAAATCCTTGTCATAAAAATCTAGTTAACGAATATGTGCAAATACTGTGAGTAATTTATTTAAAAAGATTTAACCACAATTATTATTGAAGAGATAATTATGCATTTAATGTAGCAGCTTAAATTTTAGTGACTCAAAATGTAGTCCAACATATGTATATCAACACATTTTGAGAACCATACTCACCGCAATATTTCACAGCAACTCGAAGTCTTCCCAAACTAATTAGAATATATATAGCATATATTAAGCGTTAAACAGATGTGTCTGCCAGTATTCTTCTTGTGAGCTTAGTGAATTGTATTGTAAAATGGCTAAGGTGAGCTCATTTTTTTTTATTATTATTATTAGAATTCAATTAATATTATTCTGATAAAAAATATTATTGGCTAACAAAAATATTCGCCAATAAAAATCAAAATCATCAAATTAAATCTTAAACAATTAGACTAACATTATGTTACCTCTTATCCAATCCTATGATATACATTTTTATTTGTGAGATTTAGAAAAAGTATGCGCAGCGGCTAAGCATTGACAACCCAGGAAATTCAACCTATAGGTATCTTTGTTTAAACAATGAAAGGACGCGACGTCTAAGTGGTCTGCATAATTACCAATCTGACTCACATTTATTTGAATTCTTATATTGATTTTTATTGACTTCGAAATCTTCTTAATTTCATCATAAAATAAAACTAAGGTGTTTTGGGATTCTTTTATTCATAATATTGTAATGAACACAAAAAAAGAAAGAAACAATAATATAAAAACCTACCATTATAAGTTCAACAAACAAGTAAAACACGACATAACAAAATACTCTTATTTAAAGTTTATACTAACTTAAAACAACTTTGAAATTGATGGCATCATTACATGTCAATCAATAACTCTTTAAAATATTTTGTTGCCATAAATATTGCAACTTTTACATCTATTATTTATTTATAAGGTCCAACATGATGAAATCGCTGTTCATTTGAATTAAAATAATAATAGACATTTGATTTTCTAATCAGAAATAGAGGCGTCTAGAATTGCACAAATAATAATAAAACAACAAGCAAATAAGCTTGAAACAATAAATAAAACCAGAGGCAGTTTGATATCTTAACTCATTTGATTATTCTTCTTATTTTAGGTTTCGTTAATATTTATGATCGTGGCCATGATGCTGTCATTCGCGTACGGAGGATACGGCGGTGGTTATAGTGGAGGAGGCTATGGAGGCCGCGGTGGATACGGAGGAGGTTTCGGACAAGGCGGTTTTGGTGGTCGTGGTTTTGGACAAGGAGGCTTTGGACAAGGAGGCTTTGGACAAGGAGGCTTTGGACAAAGCGGGTTTGGACAAGGTGGATTTGGACAAGGCGGTTTTGGACAAGGCGGATTTGGACAAGGTGGATTCGGCCCAGGAGGTTTCGGACGATAATAAACTAACGACAAATATTTACAAACTTTTGTACAAACGCGTCATTTTTTTTTTGTTAAATAAAGATTTTTTTACTTATGTACATAGACTTTTACTGTTGAACTGGTGGATTTCCTAATTGGCTCATGGAAGATCGCGCCCTAGTTATAAGTTGAATCATTAACTCCGAAAATAAATCCCGAATGAAACCAAAAATACCCATAGGCCTAGAACCATTATTTGGTTCTTTAGGTGGTGGGACAGGCGAAACGGGAGGAACCGGAGATGTTGGTGGAGGCTTTTTGGGTACAATTAAAGGTCCTCCAATAGGATTAACTTCTACAATTGGAGGTGGATTCACGACAGGACGCATATAAGGGTTAAGAGGAGTAAAGAAAGGACTGCCTGGGATTGAAGAAATAATATTTGTGTTTAAACCTGGTGGTGGCGGAGGCATTACTACTTTAGGATGATTATTCGTGTTTGAGCCTGCAGCTGGTGGTGGATTAGTCGGAGTCATCACAGCTACGGGGTTAAAATTGGTATTCAGGCTTGTAGCTGACGAGGGATTTCTTGGAGACGTTACGACACTGGAAAGAATATTTGTGTTCAAACCTCTAGCTGGTGGAAGATTACTCGGAGACATTACCGTATTGGGAACACTATTTGTATTTACATCTGCAGCTGGTATTGGGCTGCTAGGTGGCATAATAACTTTTATAGGTAGTCTAAACGGTGGGGCTAAGTTTGGTGAATCTTCTACATTTTCTTCAACAGGAATCATCCGTTCATTGGGATTTTTAACTCTGGTTGCAGCATCTTCGTATTTATCAATTACATTAGTTTCGAGATCCCTCCGCTCGATAATATGTTTCCTTCCCATGAATTTTCCAAACGGGCCCCATTTTTCGGTAATGAACGTTATCGGTCTGAACTTGAATGGTTTAAACTGTAAATTTATCTTTTTCTCTATATTTATAGCCTCGAAAATTGGTGTGGAATTTGCGACATGATACAGCTCTATCACGGTAATTAACAAATAGATCTGAAAAAAGAAAGCAAAAAATAATCACTTTAGCATCCAAATTATTAAAAAAAAATATTATAATAAAAAGGACACTTTCGGTAATACCTTTGCTAATAATGTCATATTGTACCGATAATAGAACTATGAATGAAGAAGGAATCAGCAGTCATAAGTTAATAAATACTCATACCTTAGGATTCTATTGAAAATGAGAGCAATTAAAAGTTGACCTTGACGACGGCACGCAAAGGATCTCATTGTTTGTTGTAGTTCAAGGAGAGTCATAGTAGCAATTTAATGAATCTATGTCATTAGACGTACACACAATAGAGTAGCAGCGCGAGGCATTGGTGAGACAAGGCAATTCTATGTTACACTTACCGCCTTACAGACTGACTACTGGATCTACTGGCTATTTTGACATCGTTTATATTTATTTAAATCTATACTTGTACGTTTCAATTAATATTGTAGATATTATAACGTCTTGTTAAGCTTTTTTATGTCAAAATTATGTAATTTTAAAGTAAACTCGTCAAAGGAAGGTATCGCTAAATAAGGGGGAAACAGTAGGCTTAAATATATGTTTCCGTGCGGACCGGACGACGGGCCTCTGGTGGCGGGAGCACGACAGTGTTCCCGTACTCGAGGTCTTGAATCCGCGAAGGTTACCTTCTCGCCTTGCAACCCTGCTGGTTACGATCGGCAGGGAGGCTCGGAGAGCTGGTAGTGAGGAAAACCGAGGAGTCGGACGGCGTATGCTGGTGAGGGAATTTTCCATCTTGCTCTCTGGTAGTGGGGCCGTCGGGGCCGGACTGCCCCACACACCGTTCGGTGTGTGGAGTGATCGGGCCTCGGCGGGGCCACTATCAGAGCGCGACTAAGGAACGGAATACCGGTGACTGGTTCGGTGCACGCTGGGCTGGACATTGGTATCCGGGGCTATCGGAGTGAGGGATTCACGGGGGTTCAGCCCGTGTGAATTCCCTCTCTTAGACGGGCAAGGGTGGGAGATGCTCAATTGCGCATCTCCTGCCTTTGACAGGGGGCAAGTCTGGCGGGTTAGCGCGCTCGCCAGGCATTGCACGCTCCTTGTCCTGTCTGGGGTTGGACTCGAATGTTCCTGAGCCCTTCCCTAACCCGAGACGGGACTCGCCCTGTTAAGGGGTGGGTCGAGCGGGGACGGCATGCGCGGGAAGTGGTCCCGTTGGGGACCGTTACCGCGCGCTGATCCTCCGCAGTGAGGGACATCGCTGAGTTTTAGTGGGTAGGCCTCTGCTCTTTGACCAGTCCCATTCTGGGGTTGGTCCGCAGGGGAGAGTCCCACATAACCCGTGGAGCTCGCGCAGGGTAAAGCGGGTATGCGGAATGCATTTCTCAGCGTCAAAAAAAAAAAAAAAAAAAAAAAAAAAAAAAAAAAAAAAAAAAAAAAAAAGCTTAAATATATGTGTGAAATACAGCTTTAACCAACTACGAGGGTCAAACTGAAAGTTCTTAGAAAATCAAAAACTGATTACATTAGCCAGTTATTAGTTTTATTATATCTTTTCAAAATATTGTCCATTCACGTCAATACACCGCTGCATGCGATGGAACCACTGGGAAAAGCACTTTGCCCACTCGTCCTTAGGGGTCTCTTCAATGGCATCGCGATACGCAGCCACCGCTTCTTCAGCATTCATAAACCGCTTTCCTTTAAGTTTTTCTTTAATTTTTGGAAATAAATAAAAATCACAAGGCGCGAGGTCGGGGCTATACGGCGGGTGACCCAGTAATTCAACGTTTGATGTCGCCAAATAGTCGATCGTTCGCTTGGCGGTGTGCGACGAGGCGTTGTCGTGGTGAAGGAGGATCCTACTGCGAGGTCGTTTCTCTCGAACTTTTTCCAAGACAAGTGGCAAACAATTGGTAGTGTACCATTCTGCAGAAACTGTTTTTTGATCCTCTAACACAATTGTTGCAAAATGACCTATCCTTCCAAAGAACGAGGCCACCATTTTTTTTCCCGCACTTCGATCTCTCTTCACTTTAGTTGGCAACTCCTCGAAAGGAAACACCCACTGAGCAGATTGTCTTTTGGTTTTAGGATCATAACAGTAAATCCAGCTTTCGTCACCTGTTAGTATGTCGAACACAGCATTTGAGTCACCTCCGTTAAATCTTTCAATCATTTTACGACACCAATCCACACGATGGAGTTTTTGAGCCTCAGTCAAATTATGAGGTATCCACCGGGCGCAAAGCTTCCTGACCGCTAAATGTTCGTGGAGGATTTTGTGCACTTGACTCATACCGATGCCTAAGCTTGTCCGAATCTGTTGATAGGTCACTCTTTTGTCAGTCTCTATCATACGCCGCACAACACAGATGTTATCTTCAGTCGTCGCCGTAGAAGGCCGTCCCTCACGTAAATCATCAGTGAGATTAGTGCGACCACGTTTAAACTCATTAAACCAGTTGTAAACAGTCGCACGAGATGGGGCTTCATCGTGAAAGGCCAATCGTAGTCTATCATAACTTTCTTGATGACTTAAATGACATCGAAAGTCATAAAAAATCATTGCACGAAAATTTTCTCGTGTTAAATTCATGATGACGTGACACAGACAATTTTCAATTTGCCGCCAAATCGTAAAACAAATGACAAATGAATGAAATATATACTCAGTAATATTGGCAAAGAGTTATATTTTCAAATTTTAGAATTATTTTTTTATTATATTGTTTATAAGTGGCCAGTTCTAAGAACTTTCAGTTTGACCCTCGTATAATTTTTATGCACTTATGATGGGATACAAAGTATTATATATATTTTTTTCGATTTTTTACACAGTAAAATATTAAGCATTGACCCCAAAGTTATTTTTAACCATTTACTAGCAAAACAACAAAAATAAATAACAAAAGCGTGTTCAAATTAAGAAGCAACATGTATATACGACTGCCACGCTCCTCAAGATGCTTCACCGAGTGCCAATTAGGTACCTCGCAAGGTTACGACTTCTGTGCATACCTGCCTTTTCATGATTTAGTACATAGATTTGTATCGCGTTCTAATTAGCTAGATATCTACGACCTCTTTTGTCTTTCTTTAAAGGAAAATCCATTTTATGTTCATTGATAAATTTTTATCCTATAAAAACATTTGCAATTTTACTTAAATGATACATTAATCTATTTTAGATTGCTAATATAATGTAAAATATAACATATATATTTTACAAGCTTCAGAAAAACAACAATTGGAAGCATGTTATTAGGTGTCCTTAAAAGAATAGTAATTTTTAAATTATTAGTATTAAAGAAATGATCCGCGTATCTTTTGTTTACGCCCTCGTAAATACATCTGTTCTTTAAAAATAATATTGTATTAGAAAATTAATCGAAAGAGATTGTACTTCAGATTAAGTACTACAAAAGGCAAAATTAGTGCAATTAGATTTTAAACTGACATATTATCATTCATTCATTCACATGCTGCCGACTGATCATTTTAGAGTTGAATAATCAATCATATTAATCAGGAACTATTAGGACTTTAACTTACTAATTTTTCAAACCCTTATGCTCCACTACATTTTAAATGAGCAGACATCGATATACAATTATGTATGCGGAGTAGCTTTTGAAGTCATATACCATACATAATTTATGATAAAGAAAGAATGGTGACCCGAAAGTTGAAGTCGAATGCTGTCGGCATTACAATTAAGGCATACGCGACAGGAGAAACTGGCAATAAAACACCAACTGAACGCATCTGCATTCTGCAATTATTTTAGGGATGGGCTGTCGTAACCCAACTTTCACATTACATTAACTTTGCACATGATAAGTCTTCGACTCGTATAATGAAAAATATAAAAAAAAAAGTTTTGTTATAAATTGAATTCGGCTTACGTTTTTTTTATGGGTGTATCAATAAACCGGGACTTCGTCCGCATAAATTATAGCCTATGTCACCCGGGCATGAACGTGGGTGCAAGAATTTTCTAAATTCTATGCAAACAAACAACCAAATCTTTCCTCTATAAGTATATTATCAGTTTTTTTTTGCTTTATAAACTAGTTAAATTACCTGACATAAGTAAATAAAAGTAACTGTTAAAGAAGTGAGCATAGTATTGACTAAGTATATAAAAAATAATGAGGATTAATGAGTGCTTCTGAAAAATTTATAAGCGCTAAAATGTCGAATAAAAAACGGTCGAACACAAGATCATTGTATAGGCGATACATACACGTAATAGTGTTATAAAATAAGATGTAATTGCTGTATATTTCTAAGCTAAAAATTATATTTTTATGGGAATTGCGCGATCTGTATTCTATATTAAAATTAAAAGATGAGAGACGGTGAGTCAATTAATGCATAAAATATTTTTTAAATGTATATCAACTGATGATAAAACCACACAGACTTCGATTCGTACTACTCGCTAGCAACACCAAGGAAAATAAGCAAAATATTTTCTGCTTGTGTTGTCTGGGGTTTGTTATGGCATGGTCGTTGTTTCAGATTTCTATAACAATGTTATGTTAAAGCATTATGATTATGATAACGCAATAAAAATTAAGTATGCTTGAAATGATAACTGACGAATTAATTTCATTACAGAAACACTTGCTGCCCGTTGCACAGACGTCCGTTAAAATTTTCATTAGTTCAATATGATATTATGGATACAAATTTTTAAATTTAAAACATTTGTGGACGTTTGTGCAATTAAGCGTTATTATGTAACTGTACAGTTTGTCGCCAGCGGTATTTCCGGACCGATACGACCTTCAAACTTTCAAGCGTAGAGCATATTCGTCCCTCAAAGGCCGGCAGCGCGGGTTGCAGGTGTCCATGGGCGACGGTAATCACATACCATCAGGTGATCCGTCTGCTAGTCTGCCCCCTATCCCATAAAAAAAACTAGGTTTACCAGTATGGACCGTTATCATAATTTATTTGTCTGTGAAAAAACGCCTTCGCCAAAATGTTTAAAGGGAATTCTTTAAAATAAACAAAAAAAAATATCATAATCAGTCCAAACCAAAAAGTTGTCAGTGATTCGTAGACGAATGCTGTTCGCTGATGTTTTTATTTTTGTTGTTTTACACAGCCATGAATAAATGAAACAATACACCCATCTCAATAAGCGGCTTGTGTAAATTACGTAAAAACTTGATATATTGTCGTGGTCTTCGAAAATTATCACATAATAAAAGAAAGTCGGACGTGCGTCAGACGCACAGCTCAGTCGAGGCTAGGCATACAGTGAAGCTTGTCGTAAGCAGTTCAATATCCAGTGAATCCTGGTTCAGTGATCATGAGCGAGAAATTATACTCTATTGGAAGACAATAGAGCTGGTTTTCATATTACAAAATACAGTGAAATGTGCTCTCAATATACCGATACTATTTGAAGAACAGTAGGAGTTTGTTTAAACGTAATAAGGTAATTAATATGTTTTTAACCCTTAAAATTGACTTTAAAACGTCTATGCAATAGACAAATATTTAGCCTACTTATAGGTATACATAGGTGTATGAATATTTTTTTTCTCAAATGTAGGTAATATTAGACTTAATATATAATTGTAATAAATTAAGATAAACAAACCACCTAACGAACATACAAAAAAGACTCAGTCGAATTAAGAACATCCACCTTTTTAAAATCGATTTAAAAGATACTGATTAAAAGTGAAAAAAAAAATATGATTCATAGAGAAAATATGATATTCTGCGAAAACCAAATACAATTATTATTTATCTTGTGTTAATATTTCACTATTTTAAAAATAGGTATAGACTACAGACAGATGCAAATACCTACTGGTCTTTAAATTTCGTATTTTGTATCAACTGAAAATTACTTTTGCTTACAATAAAATGATGTTTAATCTCAACGATTTTTGTTAGACACTTTTCACGCTTAAAATCACATCTAGATCAATTCACTCGATAATGAACTCTAAATACTTTCCTGTCAGATATACACTCTTAAAAGTTTAGATTCCTGTTACAAATTGAAATTTGTGGAAATTAATAGATTCTTTGCGAGATTTCACCTGACAACATTCTACTTTCGAATGTTTCCGAAGATTTCCATTTTATGATTTAAATAAAATCTGATATTAGTTTCGGTTTTTTATGGCGAGAGTTATTAATTTCTCTAGCCAGTTTGGTTAGAGACCTCAGCGGTTCAGGGTTCATATTCTAAACATGAAACTCGATCGCGTTATATTGTATCTTTGTTCGATTTTGAATAATAAAATATATAGATCGTGATCTTTACTTATATACACTATAATTGTAAAAAAATATTAACATTATCATTGATTGATTAATAATATAATTAAATCGACAAATTAAAACACTAACGCCATCTATGAACAGCTAAAGTGATGATAATGTTGAACAGCCACTTAGAGTGGATTCAGCCTTCAAGTCAGGCGGATCACAAAATTAAAAGCCAGTCAGGATAATAGATTTCATTCAATTAATTTATTTGCGTGAAAAGAAATATCAATGGCCGACTGGCTGAGAGGAATCATCACAACCACTATTATTACAAGGTTAGCCGTAAACGTTAGATTTTATTATAGAATAGCACCCATGGTTAGTAACGGCCACAACACACGCATACTACACGCAACGGATTGTCTATAAGTTTCATATGAATTAGTACAGCACTACGTCTACTGGTGTTACCAGTTGCAAACTAATTAATTTGCAGCTTGAATGCAGTGGAGCTACAGGACATTGCCGTTCTTAGGTCTGTGAGTGATTGACAAAATGGAATTCATAAAAATAATGTCCGTTAAGTGCCGTGCGTGCGTTGCAGTTAGTGCGGACCTTTGGACATGGGTCCATTTTCATTATTCAATTATTCGTACATTATGTATTACACATACAATATAACATGATATATTTTAGTTTGTCCTAATTATATTTACGCATAACACTCTTTACCTGCGTATAATATTTCTGCGTAAAAACTTCTCTGAGCATAGAAATAAATAAAAAAAGTTCTATATGGCAACTCACTGTTCTGTCCTAACTTTTGATTGGATTAATTTGATAGAACCGTTGATTAGTTCTTTCTTCTTCAGGAACATTATACGAATTTAAATAATGCAGAAAAAATACTTCAAAGATAATTATGCGACAATATACTGTATGCCAAAAAAATGATTATTATTTTTATTTATTATTATGCGAAAGATAGATACAAAAATGTAAATGTAGATCTCCGAAGAGCTGTCTTCAATCTTCAATCGCTGATAGCTAGCAGTTTAGTTATAGATTATAGAAAGACTTTTAAAAATATATTAATTCTAAATTTATCCAATACAAACAATGAAATCAAATTTTCCATGTTTAGATTTCACTAGATATGGGTCAATGTCAGTACATGATATTTTAATATTGCATTGAGATTCTTTTTAAGGTTAATGTCAACCAAACTCCACAAACTTCTTGATTAACCGGTAATCAACTTCATTATAAAAGACCACAGCCTAAACATTTACGTAACAAAAGAAAGTAAGTATTCTCGTTTGGTGTGTATTTAAATAACTGGAATGTAAAACTGACATCATTTTTTGTGTCAAGATTAACATAAATAATATAATAGGTTTTAGGGGGGCAAATCAAAACGATTTATAGAAGTATTTAACCGAAAAAAAGGGGCTTATATTTGTGAACTACTACTGAATTACATGAAATTCGCTAATAAGAAATTAAGTTTTCAATTAAACGTTTAACTAAAATGTTATAAATGAGATAATCACATTATTTTTAACATCTGATATTGAATTAAAACACGAATGCATATTTCGACACGAAAAAGATGTATAACATATCTTTTTAGAAAAAAACTTAAATGCAACAAATAAATAGATCTATAAAATTCATCGATACATATATGAACAATTTTATTATCGTAATTTTCTTTTCTATGTGAGTTAATTTCCAACCAAAAACCGACATTAATTTCGGTTTTTACGAACCGATGGCGTAGCTCTCGACTTTCACAAGTGCTTGTAACATCCTAGACTGAATAAATAATTTTGATTTTGCTTTTTGTTAGCTCGATTGGTAAAATTCATAATGAAATACCTATTAATATTTATCTTTTAGAAAGTATTTGAAAAAAAATTCAAATCTCTCCCACGTAAAGAAATATTTCTCTTCAAATTAAATCATTTTGTCTTATTTTCAATAAATAATAGTAATAAATACTTTTTCTGATAACGCAAGGGAAATGTACCTTAAGCCGCAAACTAGGGCCCTCCAATCAACCCGCCTTGAAAAGGGAAGGTTGAGTGTGACTGATCTACCTGATAAAATACAATGCGTTTCATATAACGCGGATGGATGAATTCCGTGTCCTCAAGAAAGGCCCGGATGAGCTACTTAAAACCTAGCGGCACGGATTTCTCAGTCGCTGTAACTATCATTTTTAATGAGTGTATTTTCATTTCATCAACGTTCAAAATTATCGAATCCCATCTCAAGCACGTGATTTTGTTAAAATAAATATGAATATAGCATAGAATATGGCATAGTGAATGCAAAATGAATCAAATGTACTAATTATACCTGATTGTAAATACTTCGTCTCGTACAAATTAAAAATCCACTTCTAAAAGTTGACCCTGATATAGATCATCAATAGATCGATCAATCTTTGCTTGCCAAGTCAAATTTACATGAGGATTCAGTTAAAAATAAATTACGGAATGCTTGAATAAATTAAAATAGGTAAACAGCATGCTTAGTTGCTATAATGATTAACAACCTATAAAAAAGAAACCTTCTTAAAGAAAAAAGATAATATAGTAAATCTCATTCATTGTTTTCCCTAATATGAATAACGATAACAATTTGAGAACCCGCATCTAAATGTAACACTTTTTCTTAACATTTTATAATATGACCTCTTTTTATTCATTTCAGAGCAATGACGACCATCAAACAATTGTTCTTCTTCATAACTCTGATGACGATATTGGTCTCCTGCAACGCAAACATCTTCGATATCATCATGGAGTCCGTATTCGGCATAAAAACCAACAAGAGGAGCATGTCCGAGTTGATTACCGACTATTTAGATGAACTATTTCCTAAAGATGATTTAGACACAGAAACAATGAAAAATATTTACACAATGTATAACGAGGACAGTAATGATATGTTCGGCAATGACTTTAGTGGTGGTTTAGAATACTTAGAAAGCTAGTGTTGCCATCTCAACAAAATTAATGATTTTAATGAAAAAAATGTTAATTTGACGAAAGAAGAAAGCTATGTTTATAGTTTAGAAGGCAATAAAATACAACATTTTTTTATAGAAGAATACAGAAAATATTTATAGTAATGTTTTTTGAAAAAGGGTTTTTATCAGGTTCATGTTCATAACAATTTCAAATATAGAAAAGTAAAAAAAAAGGAATCCAAGTAGACGAAATCAGTCTTATTATAAAAGAGAACAAAAGTTAATACTTAGTTTAAACCTTTGGTTGCCTGAAGCAATTGACAATTACAGCAGAGAAAATGTCAAATTGCGACGTATTGACTTATTTTGGTCAGATAATAGTTTAGACCTGGTACTAAAGTTAAGCCTCGTTTTATAATAAGGCGTAGGAATATGTCTTTCTCTTTCATACTCGCCTATCAATTCAATCCTCTCTTAGTCAATACATGCTTCTTCCAGCACATCTTTCGGCAAGAAAGAATTCTTTACGTTTAGTAATATTTAGATGCTGGAATCAATTCCTCGATTGGATCAACGTAGATAATAAACTCTTTTATATTGTCTCCTTATTTTGGAATTGAAACAATGTGTGAGATGTTTTATTCATAAAAAAAATATATTTTCTTAGGTTACTGCCTCAATTATATCTATGAAATTACTTTCAGAGTTCTCTGTATTCATTATTCGTTTTACTTTTTGTCACTCTATCGGTCAGATGCACAAAAGTTAAATTAAAATTTAATGTTGCTTTTAAGATCTAATGATTGTCAAATTTGTATGGGTAATATCACTTTAAACTAATGAAAATTTTAATGGACGTTTGTGCGACTGGATGTATATCTCAACAACTACACCTCAGTGACTTTTAAATCACTATCATCTGTCCACTTTCTTTCTTCTTTCAAGACTAATGTTTAAATTATTTAATAATTTTAGATTAATATTAGAATACAATTTATTGACTATACCAAATTATTAAGTTTTAAGAGCCAGTTGTCAATTTTAAAAGTTTATGAAACTAAATAATTTAAAAATAATATCAAGTTATTGTTTTGAAAACGGAAATGTGTATTTATTTTCAATCTTAATTAACCGACTTCAAAAAAGAAGGTTCTCAGTTAGACCTGTATGTATGTATATTTGTGCGCGATAATCTCGCATTTGGCTGAACCGATTTTGTCGCGGATTCCAGAAAAGTATCAATATCACTAAAAAGCATGAAATAAAATCTTAAAAAATTTAGAACCGACTTCAGACTTAAAAACTGAAAAAAAATAATGATTCTTAAAATCGCGAGGACTTATTAAGATACTAACTAATTTCAAAAAAGTATTTGATCTCTCAAATCTTTCTTCTGTCTTCTATGACCTAATAAGAAGAAAAGACCTAAGAAGACCTAGCAAAAGCAAAAACAATGTCCAAAAAAGATGTTATTGAAAATGCGGAAACTAGATTACATTTTTAAAGTATTTGTCACAGTCAAACTATAGTTTTTTTTTTTTTTTTAATGAAAATATTAAAAGGTAATGATAAAATCCATAATTACTTTGCCTTAACTTTTGTTATTCTTTTTTTAGGGGGGAATTTGATAAATATTTAAGTTATCTTGGGAGCTTTACGGAGACATTTTACAATTATAGTTTGCGAGTAAATCATCATCATCATCATCATGATTACAAATAATTAAATAATTACAAATAATTTTAAAATATGCTATCTTGTTCCTATATTACTACATATCGTCAGGGATAGCACAATACGACTTATTTAACGCTTAGAATTAAGAGCTAATTTTAAGTGAATTAACATTACATATTATTACATTTAAAATTAAAATTAGCTATTAGTTGTAAGCGTTATATAAGCAGTATAGTACTATCCCCGACGATATGTAGAGAAGTATATGAAGTAAGCCAGTAACTTTCTCTATGACCTATACTATGATTATTACTTGTTCCTAGATGATAATAGACCTACGCTCCCATTCATTATGATATATACATATCATATCTAAGGCTTAGTGTTATGGCCTAGAAGGTTAAGTTCCTTTGTCCACAAAATTATACATATTTCTACTGTTACAATTCTTTACATAAACAGATTAAATCATATTACTTTTAATTTAATATGTTTAGGTGTTCGTTTATTTCTAATTTACTTTATATGTACATATATTCAATTAAATTAAATAGTTCGTCTTCAATGATTCATGTTGTAATTGAAAATTACCTTAATATTGAAAAATAAAAATGGATCTTATAGCAATTTGAACGAGTGCCTGCTCCGGTTTACGTAGATGTTTCCTCGAGAAGTTTCCCACTCGAAGTTGAAAAGTTAAGATGCCTCAAAGGAGTATAGGTCAGTTGCCCTAACGTCCATTAAGGTTTAATGACGCCTTTAAGGTCTACGAATCTTAAATTTGTATCGGTAATGTCGCTTTAAGCTAATGCCAATTTTAATGGACGTTTGTGCAACTAGCTGTAAGTCTACTAGACATAGTGAAGAAGAGAGACGAAATCTTGAATTCCTGATAAAAAACAGCAAGTCAGACAGTACTTTATTTCCTATAACAATCTTAAGCTATACCAGACTACGGCAGACAATGCGATCGTGAATCTCCAGACATTTTGTCGCTTGTTTCATTCTTTTGATAGTAGTCGTACTCTTTAAGTGAATCAAGCGTTCTTGACCTTGTTCTTTTTCGGTGTATGTCAGATAATCATCATCGTCATCGTTGGGCTTAAAGCTATCATCATCGTTCCCTGGTGGTCTACGAGGGTTGGTGAATGGTCCATTTACGTAACCGCATTCCAACCTGCCGCCACGAATTCGGCAGCCTTGACTTAAGTTTATCTCTTCACCACTATGAGGTCTACCAATATTTCTGTCGTAACCACACAATATTCTATCGCCGATTGATTTACATAGTCTACTATCGAAGTCGTATGGACAACAGCGGTTCCTACCTCCGCCATTTTGATTTGATTTTGATGTTTCGATTGGAGGATTTGTATGTGTAACATGATCTGAATTTAGCGAATCACCTGAACCACAATATCTTGCTTCTGCAGAATTAATCAACACAAAGCATAACTGAAAGAATGAAATGCTACGTTCTAATTATTATTCAATAAACTGCTTCTTTAAGAGCTCACTGACTCCATGGTTAGCGTGCTCGGTCTGCGGTAAGGTTAAGGTAAAGCAACTTTCGCAATGACTGGTATTGGGATGGGTGGCCAAAAGTTTATTATCTCGAGCTCCTCCGCGCTTCGGAAAGAACGTTTAGCCGTTGGTCCCGGCTGCACCTGCAGTCGTTTGGGTGCGCGTGGTGGATCACGTCACAGCCCATTCTATCTGTTTGATTTTATTCGATTCCATCCATAGGGAAGGCCTGAAGACCAACTGTGGGGCATTATTTGGCTGGTGATGAAAGATTTAATCATAATTAATAACTTATTAATTATGATAAATCTTAGACATGACATTTAATAAGTGATCATATTTTTATAAGTTTCATTCTCCTAATAATATTAATTAGCAAATTTATTGCAATACTGAATTGCCTTTTTAATAAAAATTATATTTGGTATCAACTTTTATGTCAACAAGATTATTGAAAATTACTACAGTACGGTTTTTGGAGTAAAAAAACCAGAATAGCAAACCACATAATAATTATATTAAAAAACACCTTTGTCCCATATACACTACTGGTAAATAATATGAGCAGTCAAAAAGTATTTCAAATCATATGACACATTTATGAAAATTTACTGCAGTATCCACACCAACTATACTTATAAGGTGTTTTGAATATAATGCAAAAATAAATGACTAACCAGTATTGATTGGATCAACTTTGTGATCATATTTCTTATCTCACAGGCTGCTGAATTCAATTAAAAATAGCGTCTAGTAGTAATCTAAGGTTAGCAAAAAATGTACAATGTATTTCGGTTTCAATAACATTTTACTTTATTTTTTAACATTTTATTTACATTTCATTTCAAATAAACCGTAGAGTGGACCGTTATTTTCTAACTATTAATCATGATAAATAATCCCTAATGGATCCTAGTGAAATATTTTAGCAAAACGAAATATCTTATATAAATCGACCTGTACAAACTTTAATATAAAAGTGTAATTAAAAAGGCTAGAGAGCCATGCTACAGCAATTATTTAAAACATCTAATTAGTTTCTTAGACATCACTTTTTTAATCCTGAAAAGCTTGAACTTTCAACAAAAATAGTAAACTTAAACCCAGTTGCATCAATTTCCATTAAAATTGTTATTAGATTAAAGTGAGATTACCGATACAAATTTTCAAATTTAGAACATTAATTAAAGCTTAAAATGGACGTTTCTACACAAGTGTGGTGCTAGCCAAATAAATAAAACATGCCTTATTTTTCTACAGTTTTATTTTAGTAACCATGTAACACAACGTTTTACAAATTTATTTTCGATCCCCAAACCATCCACATTTATAAGACTTAGGTCAACTTTATCGATATTTATTTTCTCAATATCTATATTGTTATCTTCTAATAACTGTTTCCAATGACTGTTGCGTTTTGACATGTTCCAAACTCGTCGTCTTATCAAGACTTTCAAAGGTTTTCTCCGTCTTTTTTCAGATTTACTGTGACCAACGGTTTCTCCACTCTTATCGGTTTCAACGACATAGTCATCTGGTTGAACTGTTTGCCAAAACTTTGAGTTATCCGTAAGGCTTCGCTTATTTCTTGTTTTAACGATATTAACTGGATACACTTCTTGAGTACCTTGCCCTTTGTTTTTCAATTTGACCTTTAAGTTTGATTTACTTTTATCTCTGTGTGAATCTTCTTTGATTTTTGGACTATTACTACGCTTAATAGCAGTTTTTGAATAGGATGATGGCTGGTTTACTTTCTTGCTTAAAGATGGTTCACTACTTCTCCTCCTTCTTTCAGGCGTGGCGTTCCTTCTCCCATCGGGTGTTAGGAATCGTTTTCTCTCAGGCGTTGAACTTCGGCTCCTTTCAGGTGTCGAATTTCGTTTCTTTTCAGGTGTTGATGATCTCTTACGTGTTGAGTCCGATGAACGGATTGATTCTGTATCTGCAAAAGAAGAAATACTATTGTACCAGTATTTTACCACAAGTTTATTTCGGAACTTAAATAAAACTGTACATTTATGCCACCAAATTTTATGCGAAAAGTTTCTTTAAACTGCCAATGGTTATCTTTGATGGACTTATATCCTTAAAGTCATATAATGAATCCAACTTGGATGGGATACGTAGAGCTTTCATTTTTTTTTCACGAGCATCATATTCATCTAATAATAGATTTATCTTCCCTTTGCTCATCGTCTTTGGATCAAAATTTTTTTTATCAGGTATTTGAGATAGAGATATTCGGCCCTTTTTATAATTTTCAATCATTTGATTATAAAGTCGCTGTCTCGAATCAGTAAAAGAAAACTTTTTCTTCACTTCAGCGAAATCAAGTTTTTGAAATTTGTCGATTATTTTCATTGATAAACTTCTTCGTTTCTTTTTTTTGGCTTCTTCATATTCCTTTATGAGTTTGTTGAGTTTATTCTTACTAAGTTTCTTTTTTTTTAATTTTTGTGACATAGGACCAGCTAATGACACATTCCCCAATTTATAATCTGAAACCAAATTGTCTAAGACTTTAGTCTGAGACTTGGTCAAAGCATATTTTTTTAGTAAACCTCTAACGTTCTTTCCTTCTAACAGATCTACATCTTTTAATGTTATTTTGGTCAATCTATGGTTATTTTTGAAAATAGTTACGATACTATCTTTCTTTTTCAACTTTTTTAACTTTTTCGTCTTTTTGCTTTTTTTTAACTGTTTTCTCAGTGTGTTCAATATTTTTGCTATAGTAAACGTTTTTCTACAACACATATTAACGAATCAATCATTCCATCTTCAAATTTTCAAAATCATCTATGATATAGTGAGGTTGTGTGAAGCCAAAGTTTTCCTCTCTATACTGTCTATGCAGATGCATTATGTCAACTAATAATCTTTTCTAGTTTAGCAAAATTGTAGATGGTTTACTTATTTATTAGTTTTATTACTAGGTCAATCTCTCCAAGTGATAACCAACGTAAAGCTCGTATAACAAACATATTTACGATGATATAATGTATGATAATATAATTGTGAGAACAGTCAGAGATGAAGAAGCTAAAGCTTTATTTGAAATGAATTAAGAAAATTTTGAAATAACGAAGAAGTAAGAACAACCTTACATTTCTCTCGTCTCTTTGCAATAACGTTCTGCTGACATTATGCCGTTACTTCATGATAGGCGCTAACATCGTAGCCACAATGTTACAAAATGTATTGACTACAGAATATTTATTAATTTTATTTATTTTCTAATTTCATTTCGGGATGTAAGCTTCCTATGTTCAATAAACAATGACAATGTCAATTTTGACATTCTATCATATTTTTTTTAAAGTTCGGTCTAACTATTCAAATTTTATCAAAGTGCTCTGCTACCCCGATATCTGTTAAACCGTCCGACCATTATGAAGAGTAATGTTACGAATACTGCCCAAATCTAAACCGCAGTAACAGCAAAATTTGCTTTTTTGAGTTTTCATATCGTCTGAAAGCCCAAATCAAACCCTACAAGTCTAACTTATTCATTTTTCTTCGACTAGTAATAGTATTTCTGTTACTTTTAAAATCAAAGCTCCATATTTTGCAAATAATCTGAAAATATATTAAGATTACTACCTAATATGCACTACCAAATTTGACCTATTTAATATAATACCAAATTAATACAACTACTTAATATAATAGCTAGTTAATATAATACCAAAACTGTTGAAAACAGCACACTTTACTGCATTTTAAATAGTTTCAAAAACGATTTAGGATGAAACTAAATGCAGTAATAGGGGTTAAAAATTATAATGGCTATAATTATTTGTAATATTTTCAACCTGAAATTTGTGAATTATTTTAGATTTATAACTTTTCTTACACTTTGCATTTAAAATTTGATCATAAACAGAGATTTATTAAAGTTATATAACATTAAAACTTCATGCGCGATTCGGTTTTTGCTATTACTACAGTTTAGGTTCGTGACGATAAAATAGTGGACGTGAATATCCAGTTTTAAGTAGCTAGTTAAAATGCTTGTTAATGTAATACATTCTATATCTGAAAAATAATAACATTTGTAAATTATTGTTAGCGAAGAAGCTAAATGGCCTTTATATATGTTATTCCTTACGCATTTTATCACTTTTAGATTTAAGCATTTCGATATATTATAATTTTAATCTTGTTAGTATAGCGATCACGCGTCAAATCGGCCTCGGTATAGCAAAAAATTGCAAAACATTGTAAATTTTTAGGGTAACTACCTACATTCCAATCTTGTCTATTTTGAAATATACATTTTTTTCATTAGATTTTGCCTTATATCTGATAATCGGGTTGAAGACTAATTAAATTGCAGCTTACAAACTTATAATTATAAACCAATTTTTTGAACAACCAAACGCTGTTTCTCATTGTTACACGAGGTCTCTATACCTATTGGTCTTAAACCTTTTAACGAGTCAAACCCCTTGAAATGGAAACCCATTATGACTGATGCTTGCCTTTCTTTCCTTCTTCGTTCCAGATTTCAAAAATACAAGTGCTTTAGCTACTTAATTCGGGATCTAAGCAATGTATATGATGTTGTCTAAAATTTATATTTTTATTATTGCTTATTCTTACCTTGCTTTCTGCGCCACATATCATTACCATGTGCGACATCCTGCTAATATCTTACAATTGTATGATTTGTCTTGGGTATGTTATATGAAATAATTGCAGGGTATTTTTACATTTTCTTAAGGTGAAATCATCTTATGTTTTACATATCTTGTTAATTTTATGCCGGTGACGTTTGGTTACAATCAATTGAATTTGACAAGAAGTGACACAATATTAAACGACTGAAATATTTTTATTTATTGTCTTTGATAAAGTCGTCTTAGAGTTTTTAGTATTAACCCGACTGCGCGACGCAAAGGAGGGTAATGTGTTTATCAGTCTATGTATGTATGTTTGTTTCTATGTGGCGTTCTAGAGACCAAATGCGTAGGCCGATTTTGATGATTCTTACATCAATCGATTCGTCTTAACCTTGCGAGTGTCACTAAAGACATAACAGTAAACAAAATTCACCACAGCGACAACCAGATGCCTTATTGTCAAAATGAAAAAAAATCGATGGATTACGTCAAGTGGGGTGTCGTTGAATAGGTATTTTAAAATCATCTTTAGGTTCCTTTTATCATTTTTCATTTTGAATAATAGTTTAGGATATATAACGATTTGAATTTGTTTAACAAAACGATCATTTTCGCTAATTTACTTACTTATTGATTTAAGTTTTTATTTAAAGTATTTTTACTATATAGGGTAAACAGACAGTCATTGGACACTGAATAGTTATTGGACAGTCGCTTTTTATTTGCTAAAAATAAGATAACAACAAACAAAAAGCGACATCTATAGCTGTTGATAAAATCTATTAGTACTTAACATTGTTATAGTTCATAGGTTTTATAACAGATGGCAATAACAATGTGTAAAAAAAATATTTCCCGGCGGCTATCAAGAAAACGGACAATCGTCTTAAAAAATATTTTTTTTTATAAGGTTGAGTCTAGTGTTTTATTACGATTTTGGCATAGTGGTAAATGTTATTGCTTGGGCAGTTTGAAGATTGGTAAGATATCATATCATTTAAATGATAAAGTGATTTTTAATTCATAAATGTTATATTTTGAGGTTATTTTCACGTGTCCTGTGATTGTATGCTACAATTTAATAAAAAACTATTATTGGACAGTGTCCAATAACTATATTTTTTCAGAGCTTTGAGTTTCTATGGTGTTTTTGCGTCCATTTTAAGCATTTAAATTACTTTTGACTGTACTTTAAATTTCAAGTATCACGGACTATTCTGTCAATTATTGGACGCTGTCCAATAATTGTCATTTATTGCGTCCAATAATTGTTTGCTTGCAGGTTGGAGTCTTAAAAATGCCTAAGGGAAAAAGAAAAATTATGACCCTAATAATATGATTTTAGCACTCAGGGAATTACGGGAAACGGAAAACCCAAAAATTAGAGAAATTGCTCGAAAATATGATATCCCAAAGTCCACTCTCCATTTTAAATTAAAAAATCCTGATCATAAGACTTCCTTCGGACCACAACCAGTTTTAACAAAAGATGAAGAGTCTATCTTAGAACTTTGGATTATAAGGTCAATGAAGAAGGGTTTCCCTTTAAAAATTGAAAATTTGCAACGTAGTGTATCCAAATTTCTCGAGGAAAATCCACGTCCAAATCCTTTTAAGGATAATTATCCTGGGGATGGGTGGGTAAAAGCATTTTTAAAAAGACACCCAAACATTGTCCAACGGACTAGTGAGGGAGTTACGCAGTCTAGCGCAAATATCTCAGAAAAAGACATTCGGAAATGGTTTGTTGAGATACACCAGTATTTAGAAGAAATTGGTCTTTTGCATTTATTGGATGACCCTACTTGAATATTTAATGGTGATGAAAATGGTTTTCAGTTGTGCCCAAAAACAGGGAAAGTACTAGCTGTCAAAGGAACTAAAAATGTATACACCATAGACACTAATAATTCCAAAGAGTCAATTACGGTCATGTTTACGTTCTCAGCTTCTGGAGAAGCATGTCCACCTATGGTTGTCTATAACTACCAGAGAATTCCACAAAAAATTTCTGATGGGATTCCAAAAGACTGGGGTGTAGGTCGAAGTGATAATGGGTGGATGACTTCAGAACTGTTTTTTGAGTACATAGGAAACGTTTTTCACCCATATTTACTTCAAAAAGGCGTATCACTGCCAGTCATATATTTTCTTGATGGACACAAAACCCATCTCACCTATAGTGTAAGTAAATTATGTAAAGAATTGGGCATTGAGCTTATAGCATTGTACCCAAATGCAACGCGCATTCTACAGCCGGCTGACGTAGCTGTTTTTCGGCCAGTTAAGGCAGCATGGAAAGATACAGCAAAAACCTGGCTTATGAATAATCCAGGTGAATCAATTACAAAGATGAATTTTGCTGGTATCCTTGATGAAGCTCTTAAAAAATCTTTAAAGGCTGAAACTTTGATCAACGGATTCAAAGCCTGTGGCTTGGTACCTTTTAATCCTGATGCGATTGATTACGAGAAATGTTTGGGCAGCGATAAGCATAATCAGACTAAGAACCACCAACATCAAAAAGGTGTTTTAACATTTTCTCAATTCAGTCAAATAGTTGGATTAACGAAACTGGCGCAGTTAGAAACTTACAAAATCTTAGACAGTGCCAATGAAGATTTTCAAATTTTACACAGTATTTACGACGCATTTACATCATCAACTTCTAATTTTGAAAGAACTCGTTCTCCAGTACCTGAAATATCAATTATAACACAGAATACTACTCGTCAAGCACTTGAAACTGTTTCAGAGGTCCAAGATGATTTGATACAAATTTCAGATCTAGTTGATTTAAACTTGTCTCCCATAGAGTCCAATGCTATTACTAACAAGTACTTTCAAGATATTCCTTCAGCACTAACTATGGCTACCGAGAACACTGAATGTCAGGAATTAAGACCTGATAATCCAGAGCACCTTAAATTAATTCTATGTAATAATAATTCAGCTACAGAACAACTTTCACAAGATTTTCAACCAAGTGTACCAATAGTTAGTACACCTGTCAAGAAAAATGCTATAATGACTCCTGTTTTGCAAGAACAAGAAAAAGAAAATTTATCTGATGATGTAAGTTTACTTGAAAAAAGTCCTGCGTTTAAAATTATATCTAACAGTCAATTTGCACCATTTTTGACAATGCCTAAAACACCTGAAAGAAAAGGTAAAAGAAATACAATGAGATTTCCATACGCAATAACTTCAGACAAGTACAGAAATATGTTCAATGAACAAAAACAAAAAAAAGAATCGGCATTAAAGATAAAAGAAGAAAGAAAGAGAGTAAGAGAAGAAAACAAAATAAATAAACGAAAGGAAAAAAACAATAACGTAAAGTCAGGTAGAAAGAAAATAAAGGAAAGTACAAATACCTGCAAAATATGTTCAAAACCAACAAAAACCAGCAATCGTTTGTGTTGTGATATGTGCTCTTCGTTATTTCACATTAAATGTGTTCCTCACAAACACCAAGAACATGTACCAGAAGACATAACAATGGACATATATGTATGCCATGTTTGTTATAGTGAAGTGAACAATAATGATGATAAGAATGAGATAAGCTTGGAAGAACATTCGAACGATGAAGCTAATAATACCGTCGAAGACTTAGAGGCTAAAATGCTATTCGATATGTACCAAAAAGAGAAATTCTAAAATTGTAATGTGTTTCTAGTAATTTTTCTACCTATTTTTAATTTGTTTTGTGATCAATAAGTTCCAAATAATAGTTTTTATTAACTTTGTTTTTCAGATTTTATTTCTTTAATTTTTTATGATCTCCAACATTTAAGACTGACTAGTGTTTAGTAATGAATAATTTGCATATTACCTATTTAGTTTTCAGAGGTGTTTATGATGTTTTATTGTTTAGATAACCAATTTTTGTATTAATAATAGTAAACAAAATGTTCTTATGGTGTTTTATCACGTTTTTAACTTTTATTTCGCTATATTTATCGACTGTCCAATAAGTGTTTCCAGTTGTCCAATAATTATAATTTTTGTCCAATAACTGTGTTTTTTGTTCATTTTTTTTAATATAACAATATTTTTCAACTGTTCACAAGAAGTAAGATTTTTAAATGATTCTTATAATAGCTCATTTTATCTAGTTTCATAATATCTCTACAGTTTCTAAGATACTGTAATAGACGACGGAAAAAAAATCTTCAAACTATTTTATGCGCTTAATTGTCCAATGACTGTCTGTTTACCCTATCTCAAAACAGTTTAATAGGATATTTATATTCAGGCCCTCTTACCACCGTTTATATTTACGTTCCTATACTAATACATATCGCGAGTAAAGACGCACTCGCATGTTTTTATACTTTTTAAAATTTTAGGTAATATCAAAACTGTATAAGTATTTTTTAAATAGTTAAAATATAGATTGAGATAATAAATATATTAGTTGTTAAATCAATTTATTAATAGAGCCTATTATTGAATTTTATATTTATGTTTTAAACAAACAATGTTTAATTTTCATAAAATTATTTTTATTTGATATTTAATTTTCATAGTATGGTAATTTATTTGGCAAATATTAGCACAGCCTTAAAATAACATTGGATAAAAAAGGGGTAAGTTTTTCTAACAGTCTCGCCTTAAATTCTATAAATATAAAATTTACGTATTTCGCGTTCTCATGACTTTTGATAATATAGATTTAATATCCGTTAAATCACCAAACTGTTTTGCTAACTCTACAATAAGAAAGTCGCAATAAATAATCTTATAATCAATACCCAACCAATAATTCTTTATGAAACTGCAATGTTAATGTCACTAGCGGTGAGTTAACATTATAAATAAATTTTGTTTCATCAACAAAGACACATATTGTATTCCCAATCTATGGATTAGGAACTTTAGAACTCGATGGAAAAGTTTTTATAGAAATTAACTAGTTCGAGCAAAACAATATTAAAAAAACAGTAGTAAAAAAAATACAATTCAGTATTGTAAATTTTCTAATTCCTCCGTCCATTAAAAATTTATTCGTAATATGTACAATTAAAAAGTCAGCCAATTTAATGTCATTATCAAATGTAATCGATTGATAATTTTTATTTCATCCCCTTATTGATACAATTTAAATTAAGAATTAACCTGAGAAAAGCAGATCATGAATGAGAAATAAACTTTATCAATATATTAAATAAAATTCATTCCTCACAGGTTTATATAATCATCACATATTTGACATTGCTATCAAAAGGTGCTCCTAAACTTGGTCACTTAATATTAGATTCCCTGTTACTAGAAAGCAGTAACCTAAACGGAGAGAATGATCTTAAAAAATACCGTTTTCCCACTTTTATCGGCAGACGAGATACAAATAATGAACCGGAACCTAAAACTGCACCATGTCATGGTTATGATTACGATGACATGAAATGCAAAATGGTCAACAATAGGATTCTGTGTGGCTACAACAAAAACAATGGCGAATTAAAAGGCAGCAATGAAATTGTTGACATGGGGGGCGATTGTCGTATGCGAAATGATAGGATAGAATGCGGATATTTTAAAGGACCTTATGATGGCAAAAAGCTACCACCGCATTTTGATAAAATGAAGAATAAAAGTCAATCAACTAGAACATATACTACAGAAACACTTTTAAACAAACTAATAGGTAAAACAGATGCTTTCGCAGAAACAGAACCCAGAAAAATCTCTAGAAATACTGAACAAACTCCTCCTGCAAGTATAATTGGAAGATCTTATAATAAAACAAAAGAAGCTGTTAATTCTACCACAAATATTAATAAAACAGAAGTTCCTACTGTTAGTACAACTGCTGATGAAACCGAAGAATATCTTGAAAATGATAACATAACTAATTCTAATACAGAGGCTACAAAGAATACAATCGTTTATTCTTCTTCCATTTCGACTGCTCAAATAATAACTTTAACAAATTCACCAGTAACAACGCAGAGTATAGCACACGATGAAAAATCTACTCGATATTTAAACACTGATAAATCTATAACAAATGCTACGAATACAAAGGAGCCTCACATAACTAAAGAAATCAATGAGAAACCAGTTACCCTTTGTGTGGAGAAACAGGACCGGATTGTATGCTACGATACTAAACAATTTCTGTTATTAAAAAAAACTAGAAGGTCTTCATAATTATTTTTTTGTAATAAAATTGTTTATAAGTCCAAGACTACCAAATTCATATTTTTACATTTATTATAAAAGGCTACAGATGACATGACTAAAATTTCCAGATTTCGTTTTTCATTGATTTTCATCTCTTTGAATGCAGGTGTTTGGAATAAAATATTTCCTATTACTTAGCCATCTTAAACTATTTTATCACTTTAAGTTCAAAAACAAAGCACTTTCTTACAAATAAGTCTGGCTATGCGCTGTCTCTAAGTCAGTCAATCAATCTGTATATCGCGACCTTAATTCTTATAGTTTATTTATCCAGATATAATAACTTAGTACCAAAACTTACTGTTTTAACCAATTTCAGAAGAAGTAAGACGCGAACAACGATTACCCACCAACATAATCTTGAAATAATTTCAGAATTTTTAATCTAAAAATTTTATATGAAATTCTTTATTATATTTAATCAAATTTGCATTCAAATGCTATAAAAATATTGAAAAATGCTTAAAAAATCCACTTTGTCCCTGGCACACTGAGATGGAAAACGGAAGCATGCCCTTTCGCAATCCGAGCGACTGCTCTAATCACTAAGGTCTACTAACCCAGGCCTTACAGGACTGACGAATTTTTCAAGCACTTCTTACTTTTCCGCTACTACAGAGCATATTCTCATCAATGTTCAGGCAATCCACCCAAATAAATTGTTTTCCAATACTAACGAGATGATGTCATCTTATCCATTACTAGACATGTGCCTTGGTTAAGTTATTATAAGAAAATCGTTTTATAATCGTATCATAATCAGTATGAATCAGTACAAACTGCCACTCACGTCATTCATCACAACACTTGATCGAATTATTAAATAATGTTAAGTTCATTGACTTGTAACATTATGCAAAAATGCCATAGGCATATAGTTACAAGAAAATGTAATTTCCATTTGTAATTAAGGGTTTTGCAGTATTAAATAAAAACTAACGTGATCATTATATTATAAACAAACTCTAAACCCGCGACGTCTGCTACATTAATTAGTTATAAATTATGTCACCCGTGTATGATATAGCTTGACGTAGATGAAAGAAGTTTTATAATGGTTCTAGACAAACAGATTTCTCTTTATAAAATTTAGTATAGATGGGCAAGCAACATTGTCTTTCTGGATATTATGATAGAAGTTTTATCGTCCACAGATCTCGGAGCAGGTAAAGGGATAAGCTCAGTCAAGGATAGGTTTTTTCAAAGTTATAATATCAAAAATACTCTTTCTATCTACACGGAGGAATTTTTAAATTACATAAAATAAAACCTTTAAATTATCTTTTGAATTCACTTTTATTTGATCACCGCTAAAGCCGTGATATGCACTGCATTCGACGCTGTATTTTAAACAGCCTAACAACATGACAAAGCCTATTATTTACCTTTTTAGGAATCCGTACCTAGAATGAAAATAACGGAACACTTATAGGATGACTTTCTTCCTTCTTTCAAGACCCTGTTTCTTAGGTACGCGTGGAGATACTCGTATCAAGCTAAAATTTATATCAAATACTGAGGTCTTTTGTTCCTTGGAACTGTGAAAAAAACAAACTTCTGAGTCAACGCGATCAATTAACACATCCGTTATTGCCACAAATTTTCTAAACTCGCAAGGGAATCAAAAACTAAAAGGTACTTCCCGTGAACTCAGAATCTTGAAATTTTAAATTATTTACAGATAAAAGTAAAATTGTGAAAACCGTAAATTTTTCCAACCAATCAAAATATTTTTAATAATTACAAAATATTTTTGTAATAAAATCAAACTTCTATGTCAACGCAATCAAAAGAAAGAGCAATTTAAGCCGCATAATTTCAAACTCGCAACCACTCGCTAGGGAATCGAATGGTTTAATTTGAAATTTGTCATGACGCAATATTTTGTAGCACATATAAAGGAAAAATTCCGAATACCTTCAATTTTTGTTACACCACAATAAAAAAGAAAGGAATTTTATATTCTTAATGAAAAATTATTAAAAAATCCACTTTGGACGTTGGACTCGAACCTTTCGCAATCCAGGCGACTGCTCTAACCACTAACCTTAAACATTATTTCTGTGCGTGAAAAAACACAATGAAATTTCAACCTTTGATATATGTACAATTTCCTTGAATTCAAATTTGGTAACTACGTGCTTCCCTAATATCACGTAACCTATAGGTAAGCTATTTTATTCGGCACCCCTTATGAATCCAAATTAGATTCTAAATGGGATTTAATTCAAGTTTTTCCCCATAGAGGTCGTTGTACAGTTTTTCCATCCGCAATTACAGTTCAACGGCACGAAGTATGTGCCTGCGATACAAAAATGATGGCGTGAGGTCAGATCTGACATGAGGTCAAAGTACACTTATAAAATAAGCAAAGCACTTATTTAGAGAAAATATATATTTAATGTGTTATCTATCAGGATTAATCCGTGCCTGTATGTTTTTTGTGTATGTATTTCTTTATTATATAAGGATTTTCTTTGTTAGTCACATTCTATAAAATTTGAGAAAGAACGCTTTCTGCGCTATAACATATTATCATTATCTAACCGAGATTTTGTATATATATTCCTCAATAATAGAATATATTGTTCTATCAATTGTTTTCGTTTATTTGAACTAAACAGCATTATTGGCAGTATTAAGAATTCACACATTCGTTTATTTCATTAACACATTCATAAGAATTCGCAAAAGTCGTTTATATAGTTTTGACATCAAACATTTCTAAAGTTTACTTCGATAAATCAATTAATATCACTCAGACGTACTTATTATAAGGCATATATTTGATTTATGTTCAATCGTGTCGACAAATTTGGATTGCCAAACTGCGTAGACACAATATGTCAAAAATCGCCTATGAAGCATTTTAAAATGGTTATAAAAGCTACGACCATTCTTTGTTGGTCTCTGTTTACTATATCCAAGCCCAACGGTTAATAGTCGCAGTTATTCAGACTATGACAACGGTTAAGATCATTATGTGGCTGAAACATGTTTCCTAGAGAATCATGAGTCATAACTGACCCACACGTATAACATGTTAAACGATATTTTTATGATAATGCAAATCATTTATCTTATCCGGGTTTAAATAATATTCATATGTGACAGTTAAAGCGACAATCATCATCGTGTCAACATAAAGTTCCAAAAAGAACATTTTTCTTTGTTCAAATTGACTAGTCTTTAGAGTTTCAGGTTTCATACGAAAAAAAAGTAACAATGGAACCTATAAGATTAATCCATTGTTTATCTGTATAACAGTCGATATGCTCAATAACTAATGCAGTGCTGCTATTTTGTACAAATAAGTCGTATGCAACGCTATCTCAGCATAAAGGTTCGATGAAAGAAAACCGACTTCAAAAAGTTATAAAGGTTTTATTTCATTAAACTCTATGCTCGACTTTGAGTTCGAGGTTAATTTTATTACAGAACAGCAAAGCTGAACTAATTTAATTTAAATTTGGTACACATATAAGTAGGCTAGCTGTTTTCTCGCGACTTCGCCAGAGTAATAGTTTGTTTATAGATACTTGAAAATAATACAAATCATTACCTATCTCTGTCATCTATATGCTGCTAATATACCTCTCCACCCTTTAACTTTTATATGACCAAGATCAATGATGATAATAGCCTCTTTATAACTACAATCCTTCATTTTGGTCGACGACCACTAGCAGCTGAAAAAATGACAGCTTAAGTAGTGTCTTAAATGTACTGTCGTCTAAATATATACTTATATATTTTTTTTCAATTTCTTTTTATAAATAGCTTATCTTACTTCCTGATAATGAAGCTTCATATTGATGATAGAATCTTAAAATAGGTAATTTTTTTATCCGTCTTATCTTAAAATTAAATATTAGAAACCTTTGGCCGATTATTTTGCCGATAAGCAAATGACAGAAGAGAAGACGTCAAATTGATAAGTGTAAATTTATTTTTACTTTACGATTTAAATCTGGTACTAAAGTGACATTTTTAAAGGAACCAACTTATTAGACGGTTTGAGTTCGTCTATTACAAACAAAAAATTAAAAACTGTTTATAATATTAACCCAGCGTAAAACTAAACTGTAATATTAAGTGTTAATGCATATCTATTATAAACTATGGAGAGATTAAAGAAAGGAATTTTATATTCTTAATGAAATGCTTAAGAAATTCACTTTGTCCCTGGCAATCTGAGGTTGGATTCGAACCCATGACCTTTCGCTATCCAGGCGACTGCTCTAACCACTAACCTACCCAGGACCTAACAGGACTGACGAATCGTTCAAGCACTTGTTACCTTTTCGCTACTACAAAGCGTATTTACGTCAAAGTGCCAGCAATCCACCCCAACAGCCGAAAGATATATTTTTTCATATATTTAAACTTTCGATAAAGATGAAAATTTGTTCTTAAAGTCTGACACTTTGAGATGAGATTAGTCACTCGTTACTTAGCGATACTATTTGTTACTCGATTCTAAAGTATCGATTGTAAAAGTACTTGGTTGGTGGTATCGAAAGAAATATCATCATCATCATCAGTCGTTTTACGTCCCCACTGCAGGGGCTCAGGCCTTCTTTATGGATGGCTAAGGAGGATGGGCCATGACCCTCCACGCTGGCCCAATGTGGATTGGAGGGTATTAACGACTGCAAATGCAGCCGGGACCAACGGCTTAAAGTGCCTTCCGAAGCACGGAGTAGCTCGAGATAATAATTTTTCGGTCACCCATCCCGTAACCGACCCTTGCGAAAGTTGCTTAACGACAACGATCGCAGGCCGCGGCGCTTATCCGCTATGCCACCGAGCTACTCGAAAGAAATATATCAAGTTGTATTTACTTGTATTTTCATCCCTGTCTATCGGGTGCTACGGGAATGAGAATAGAAAATTGCCTGTTAAAAACAGTTTCCAATAGTTTTTTGATCGTTAACGTTAGATTACTATACCATAATGTACTATAC